CCTGAGCTCATCCCTACTGATTGACCTCCCACCTGATGATGCCTGCATAATTCTGGGTCTAATGCCACTTGGAAGAGTCTGGTGTATGACACCAATTCAATTTTTAGCTGTCTGTAATGGTGGCATTCTGATCACCATTGTAAGGAGGGCACTCTTCCCACTGACCACCAATGTAAGGGATGTTCTTCCCACTGACGCTAATTAATTAATTAATTTTAGCTGGGGTTCCCCGAGACCTAAAAATTATTTCAAGGGTTCCTCAGAGGTAAAAAAAAGTTGAGAAAGGCTGCTATGGGGACCCAAATAGTAATAAAACCGTGACAGAGGTTCTGTTCCTTCCCCATTGTATTGAAAGATGAGCTTTATTAGTTTTTTTTGTAGCCGTCACTGGACAGAATAAGCTGAACTGAATCCAAACAATTTTGTTTAGTTTTGGATAATACGTGAGGGTTATAACCCCTGTCAGCTTTTTTTGCCATCTGTTTCCCATTGGGGAGATCTCCCTTTGCTTCCTGTCAGCCACAGCAGGAAGTGAAAAGAAATACTGGTTCTGGTAGTCAGCAAGGTTTCCAGAACTGGTGTCCCCATCAGAAGACTTCCCATTTATTCCCTTTGATTACCACCTCAAATTTAGGATTTTCTTTCACTTTAACCATCAGTGATCACAGTCACCAGGACAAATAGAGAGGGTAACGGAGACACAGATAGCAAAAACTGACAGATGTTCTAATCCTTCTCCACTGTGTACAACATTTTTTTTTTAAAGTTTGAACTTCAGTTTTACTTTTACTATCTGCCCCTGTGATCACCTCTCATCAGGACCGGAAGTGGAAGGAGATCCCTCCAACAGGAACAGAGACAATAACAATGTGAATGTGACAGAATTACTATAACAGATCTCTTCTCTACCCAAAGTCAGGAAAAAGGTACAAGCACATATTTCTACAGTGTGTCGGGACTGAAAAAAAGAAAAGTGCTAACATTTGGAGAAATGTGGAGAGTGCTACAATGTGCAGTAAAAGTGATTAAAAGACAACTATAAAACACTATAAAAAACTGTATTTTAATAATTGTAAAACGTATTTTTATTAATTGTAAAACTTGTTTTTCTAGTAACAATAATCAATATATTAACAGATGTTTAATTTACATACCTGTCCTCCACATTTATATGCAGACCAAGCTGTCCATCAAAAGTGACAGGGCTGGGACAAAATAACACACTACTGGGGGGCTTACAAGGCTTACTGCAACCATTAGAACTAAAAGGTGACCCTTATCACTGTCACTTCTGCTATAAAGCTGGGTCAGCAATTATTTGCGGAGAAACCTATTCATAAAGGTATGTGAGATATAAAATAATTGATATACTGAATACTGTCCCTTTATGTATTAACCATATATAGTTATCAGAATTGTATTTTGTTATTTTTTTTCAGTCTTTACCTTAGAGTTGTTTCCGATATGCCTCACATAGAAATTGCAGGTAAGTCACTAGGTGGCTCACTTCAAATATCATTAAAGAGGACCTCCAGGCAAATTACAAATTAACCCTTGCAGTAGGGCTGCCTCCATACTACAAGGGTTAACTGCTCTTTTTGGTCTAAGGTCTAAATTAAAAAAGATATACATACCCGATCCTCAATCCTGGCTGTTAGACCGGTCCCCGTAGCCTCTTCTCCCCCAGGCTCCGGAGGTCTAAAACCTGATGACATCTTTATGTTTAATACAAGTCCATTCATTTTATTTTTACATGAAGACGCTAAGGGACATTCTGCAGCTGGAGCAGTCAGGGAGAGAGGTGAGCGGTCACCGCCTTAGGACCAAGGATTGGGTGAGTGTATCTTTTATATTTTAGACTCTAGACCACAAGGAGTAGTTAATCCTTGGGGGGGGGTAGCCCCACTGCAAGGGTAAGGTGTACTATTTTGCCCGAAGTAAGATATCTGCCACACAGTCAGTGCATTGTTTTTAAAGATTCCCAAGTGTATAGACTTCCATTTTGTGAAGGGGCAGTAAAGCACAAGCACTATAAAGCACCATAGTGCAGAAAGTAGATTATGTAATCAGTGAATATAGCCGCCCCCGCACTTTTACATATTGTGATATTGGGGAGCTCACAGAGCACTCGCACAGCGGGTTTTTCAAAACACAGAGTCTTTATTTTCTTTCAAAACGGTAGATAATCACAAAATCCAACATAAATGGCTTGCTGTAGCATATAACAGATCAGGGCTCACCAATGACCCCTGGGTGGAGCTCTCCTGACTCACAGGTGGGGCCCTGAACAAATCCCAGCACCCTCTTCATGAGGGATGTACACAGGTGCATAATCACTATTAAGGCATGGAACCATGGAATGGAGATTTGGAGGCCACATAACACAGTGGTATTGCCACGCAATGCCACAATATGCACTATCATTCTAAATTGTACAATGATATACGGTTATTAATCATCAACAGTGTTGCCTTTTTCATTGGAACCTTTGAAAGGACTCTTGAAAAAAGCAACATTTTTGTTGAAATGCATCAGGGAAAGGTTTATGTATTCAGGCTGAAATTAATAAAATGATACTGTTGAGACTTTGGTCCACATCTGATGTAGTTAGAGAATTTCAGCCTCCCAAACAAGTTGACTGTTTGGGTACTTGTGTTAAACTAAACATTGCTGGCCTCATTCAAGTCTTGTGGTTCCTTTTGCTGCACTCCTCCACTGTCCTAAACTAAAGCCCTCGCATGAGCAGAGTACACCAGTTATAAGGGGAAACTACTAAGAAGACAGCATAAGATGGTCAGATCATGCTGGCTTGCCCCACCGTTCAATGTCTGTGACCAGTTCAGTTGTGGCTCACTGCCTGCTGTTATACCTGGAGGTGGCTCATGAGCTCATGACCTGTGCCATGACCTGTTAATCTGGGTGATAAACAGACACTAATTGCTTTGACCTGATAGGTGAAAGCAACACAACCCATAGAGAATCACCTAGGGCAGAATGGCTTGTTGGTAAATCTCTATGATTATTCCTTTTTCCCCAATCTGATTGGACAATCTCTGATTTTTAGAAACTGTATGAGGGCTTACCTAAACAATTTCTTAAATTTTCTTCCAACCAGGCATGCCCTTGCACTAAATAGCTGTAGGTAGATGTAAAGGAGATTACACAATAGATTGTAAGCTGTATGGTTAGTGAAATATCTTAATTTCTGGTTATGATGTTAATACCTCTTTTCATCTGTGGCTGTTGTTGAAGAGAAATGATTTAAGTCACTGCTTGTGCTGAACTGAGCACCGGAAGATATACATCCAGTAGCATCCCAGTGATTTAATGGCATTGGAGGGTCAGGCAGTGGCTATAAGGACATAAGGAAAGGCCATGTCTCAGGTGTATTGTAATGAAAATGTTTGATTGTTCTGTAGAAAGTATCAGCCGCTGAGTAAGATATCCAGAGATTTCAGAGCCCTGTATATTTCACCTCTCAGGGAGGGTGAGTATTGTCAGGGGATACAACTGGAGCCATTATCATCCTGAACCCAGGATTTGAAGGAGCAGCACTTTCACCACATCCATTAGCTGCAGTCAGTGGTAAGTAGGGAGATGACTTGAGGTAACATAACGTTTAGCCGTCATGCCCATCAGTCTATTTTATATCTATTTTATGACTTTGTTCTTTGAAAGCTGGGGTGAGTTTCGCATTATACACTGAGCACACTGTAACATTCTATACAATTGTGTGTCCTGATGCCACATCCTTGGTATAGATGCGCCTGGCTGTGAGTAATTAAATATAATTAATAATGTACGGCGTAGGGTACATTTGGGAGGTGGTGAAAACCAATCGACCGGCAAACATCTTCCATGAGAGTTTGAAAGATATTGATCTGTAGAGTGAAACTCTCCCGAGCAGCAGTTTTATCTGCTCTTATCATCGCGGACAGTTGTGATGTCAGCAATATAGAACAGGCATTACACATCCCAGGACTAGAAGCTCTGCTGGAAGAGAGAGTTCTGAAGAGAGATGGAGGAAGATCACAACTAGGGATTTACTATGTGTACCGAACTGGAGATATGAGCAGAGAGAAGTTAGAAGGCTGAGGAGCTGTAGATCTTAGAAATGGTGGGGGGATGGACATCTGTTGAGTGACAGAGATGGAAACGTGGGGAGATCTGGAGATCTGATGAGTGAAAGAGAGATGGAGATCTGATGAATAGAGTGGATGTTGAGATTTGATTAGTTGAGGGGATCTGAAGATCTGATGAGTGGAGGGGATCTGAAAATCTGATTATTAGAGGGGAGCTGGAGATCTGATGAGTGGAGGGGATTTAAAAATCTGATGAGTGGAGGGGAACTGGAGATCTGATTAGGAGAGGGGATTGAGAGATCTGATGAGTAGAGGGTATTGAGAGATCTGATGAGTAGCGGAGAGTTGGAGATCTGATGAGTAGAGGGGAGTTGGAGATCTGATGAGTAGAGGAGAGTTGGAAATCTGATGAGTAGAGGGGAGATAAAAATCTGTTTGTAATAATAGGGGAGCTGAGGATTTGTAGTAAGGGATGAGTAGAAAACCTAAAATAGAGAGCTCAATGGGAAACCTCGAAATCTGATAAGCAGATAGAATGGGTAGATGAACCCCACGTTTGATGTATAGAGGGGTGCTGTCAGTGTGTAAGTGCGTGAGCAGATGAAGATTTGATCATGAGAAGATCGATTTAGGGATCTGAGGTAGGGAATCTGTGAGAGACGTCCAGTCATCAGGGCGCTGTTCATTCATCAATGTTTTTAAAAGTCCGCTCAGTGCCTCGCCAACTGTGAGCTCCACCTGGGCTCGCCTCCTGATTGGCTGCCAGCTAGCATGTGACCAGCCCTCTCCCCACCGGGCAATATTTACTTGCTGAGGAATGAAAGAAGTGCACAAGACAAGATCAGGTGAAGCTCGGAGTGACCGGGGAGGTCAAAGTCTGAAGATCTACAACCGTCCCAGCCAGGACTCCTGCGGGAAATGAATTCTTACCTGGAATATACATCGTGTGGGGATGTTGTAGCCTTCTCGCCCAAATTCTGCCGAGGCGAGCAGAGGAATGTCTCCCTGCAGCCATATCCAGGGAATGGGGTGGACAGTCACTATGCAGGGAGTTTACCGATCGGTGTCCACCAAGCTTCTCATCAGTCCTCAGCACTGTATGCTCCGTGCAGCCTGGACGTTCCCTTTGAACCGAGCGCACCTGCTGACTACAATTACCTACCAGTCAGCCCCGATTATGACTTTTCTTTTGGATCTAGCCACCCCATGGAGGACACTGGGGGCCACATCCAGTACACCAGCTCTGTCTTCCCAGGGAACGGACCTTACTTTCTGAATGGACAGCTCTCCTACAAAAGCCTTGGAGAAGACACTCAGGGGGGAACACGTAGGGAGCATCTGGACCTCCACCCTGGGAACTTCCAAAACTTCTCCCCTTCTCCTGGCTCCTACCCCAAACCCAACTCCCCAGTCTCCGAGACACACAGCACGCTCAACACTTTTGATTGGATGAAAGTTAAACGGAACGCTCCTAAGAAAAGTAAGTACAAAGAGATCCCATTATACAGGCACGAATTTAACGAATGTGTCTATATTCGAGATGCGAATCAACGAATTTGATTAGGAAAGGGATATTTGTAAATAAAAACTGTTAGCATAATTATACTTTTTCGTTTGATTGAGCATTCATAGGGATGCATTCGTCAATATTTTTTACACTTTCTTTTTCTAATGGAAGCTTATGTGAAAATAGGTGAATCTTGGGTAAAATAGTGTGAATGTTTGGTAAAAGCATTAATAAATACACTGAACTGTGTATACAACCGATACAAGAAACGTGAACTGTGGTTTTGTTGAAACATAAAAGAAGTTAACTTTGTATCAGTTTGTGTTCAGTGATTACTATTTCGTAGCAGATTGTAACAGTTTGTATCCTTTTCGCAGCTTCGCCTTCTGATTATGGAGTGACGAATCCTCCCAGCACAATGAGGACAAATTTCACCACCAAACAACTGACTGAACTGGAGAAAGAATTTCATTTTAACAAGTACCTGACCAGAGCCAGGCGCATAGAGATTGCGAACTCCCTTCAGCTCAATGACACCCAGGTGAAAATCTGGTTCCAGAACAGGAGGATGAAGCAGAAGAAAAGGGAAAGGGAAGGGACCTTACCCAGTCCCCCCAACCCAGGTACTGTCCCTAATGTCCCGGTGGACTTTCAGCAGAAGGCAATCCAAAAGACTGAGCCCCTTTCCCCATCCATTGAAGTCCCCTCATCCTAGAGACACTTGCAGACCTGATTTCAGGACGTCTGCTGCCTTTGCACTATGCAATGCTATTGCTGTACTTTTCTGGGTGGCTGAATGATAAAGAACTCTGTATATAAAGGGGGGATAGCCCAGGAATTGCCTTTTCTTCGCAGTATTCAGGGAGAGTCGCATGCAACACAACGAATCCTGGTTAGGAGCTTCTAAAATCGTTACTTTGTGTTGGTCTATTGAGTTTACTTAAAGGGACATGCCATGTATGTACCCCACTATGCAAGTACTGATGACCAACCACTTTGGCTGGCCATAGATGGCATGATTTGTCACCAAATATGACCCTTGCGAAAATTTGGTAAGGACACTGGAAACATGCAAACAACCACTGTGAACATTTTTATTGCACTGAAAAAGGAACATCCCTGTTATTTATGTTAGTGATGTAGCTGATTTTGCACAGATGTCACAGCCAATCCATACCCCCCAATCTCTGTGATTGCTTGCATTACAACATGCATTATAACATCTGTCATTACCAATCTTCTTTTGAGAACAATTTTCCATCCACCTTAGTAAATCAGTTCAATATATGCCAGTTTGGCGGTCGTTTTGCGACCACTTTGCACAAAATCCCACTGATTATGCTTCCAAAGGAGTTCAAAACCGTTCCATCTATGGCCAGACTTACTCCAGTTTGGTGGCATCTGTGTTCAACCAAAGATGGGAATGTTTTCTTAACATTATTTAAATTTGCACTATTGCCTTTAAAATTGTTTTTCACTGTGAGTTAAACTGCTCAGTGAGATTGTATTTGATACCTCAGATATTATTTAGCCTCATGGCTCGGTTTCTGATGTAATTGCTGTATATATATTTTTAAATACAAAATAAAACTGAAAAAAACTATTCAAAATCAAGTATTTCTATTGTTTTATAATTTATAATGATAATAATAATAATAATAATAATAACATTACAATAAAATAACTGTACAATATAATGTGTGGTTACTATATGAGAGACAGTACAAAATGAATTTACTCTTATATTTGTGACTTGGTATTTTTTGGGTGGGAGGCTCCTGTGTAGTTAATGGGAAGATAAAAAAAAGGTCACTCAAAGTCCACCATGGGAACGTCAACCTTGTCTACTTTGTAATCCAAAAGAAAACCAAGTGTATGTGTAAGCTCGGTTGTTCTGTAGATTCAAAACGTTTGCATATTAAAGGAGAGTTCCACTTCAAACGGGTCCCTGGCTGGGAGAATTACAAATTCTCACTTTCAAAGTGAGCATCACAAAAGCCCCATCAAATCAAAAGCACACGTGTCTGTTTCTTTTCAACAAGTTCACAGGGTCAGTGGAAATGGCAGCATACGGACCATACCGGCAAATGCACGATTTTTATATTTCCTATGTGTGTCCAATACATATGACAAATGCTGACACAGTCCAATGCAGACACAGGCTGCAGAACGTGGGCGGGGCTTAAATCCAACATTGCAGTTAAACTTTGAAAAGTTCGGTGAAGTTTATTAAAGTCGAGAATTTTAATGTCGCAGCGAGAGGTGACACCTTCCTACTAAAACAAATCTTTTACTCACGGTGAAGATGAGTGGTAGAGGAGCAATTTGATGCTGCCAACAGCCATTTAAAGTATTTTTTTGTTAATTTCACTTTAAGAGTCTAAAAAAAAATCTATATATATATAAATATATATAAATATATATAATATCATTTTTTTAAACATAAAACTATAACTGTATAACTATACATGACAAATGGTATATTATATCGGTGTATTTCTACATGATACGTGTGGTGTATTTTATTTTGGCCATCTGCTTTCAGCTATCTAATGTAAATGACTTGCTGCATAGAACAACAGACATTCTTGCTGGTATGACACTTCAAAGACGGTCACCTGTGTCGTGACCCCTGGTTTCCCCTGGTCACCTTTGATATTGCAATGTCCCTTTCTTTGATAACCATCAAAATCCCTTTGCTAAAAAAAAAGGCACATTAAGGGAACAAACCTGGTTTTGGAGGGACACAACGTTGAGCATTGCACAAACATCTTGGGAAACTTTAGATTGACCCGAGCAGTCAGGGAGAGAGGCTGAGCACTTGTAAATGTCATATCAGATGTCCTTTGTGAAGATCAAATGTGTCAAGAGACAAAGGTGTATTTGGTGAAGGAAGTTTCAGTGTACACGTTTCCTTTTTAAATGTTTATTTCTGTAGAAAGCTAGTCCAGCCTATATCTGTGACACTGTGACACTGTGACAACAGGATGGCATCCTTCCCACCCAATCCATGCAGGGAGCCAGGGTCACAAACAGTTCATCCTAGACAACGGGGCATTGTGACATCACAGTCTACAACTGTATGGGAGATCTCTGTGTTATCAATCATAATCCAAAGAACACAAACATGAAGTATCATTCCATGGTTGTATTATACTGATATCCTCATACTGGATGACTGTGGGGCACTTCGAAAGGATTTCATAAAAGGTAAATAGAAATCAGATATTGATTATCAAAAGATCGGAAATGTTACAGTTTATGGTAAAGTGGTGAGAAAAATGTTCATGTGTTGCAATAGAAAATAAAACACTCATAATGTATCAAATAAAACATTAATCTATCTATCTATCTATCTATCTATCTATCTATCTATCTATCTATCTATCTATCTATCTATATTATGTTGTAAATGCCCCTGCATGATTGAATACTGAAAGTGAAAAAAATATTAATGAATTAACATTTTATATTTCTTTAGTACATTTCTCTCTCCCCCCTCTCTCCCTCTCTCCCCCCTCTCTCCCCCCTTTCTTTCCATATATCTATCTACAGCTATCTCTCTCTCTCTCTCTCTCTCCCCCCTTTCTTTCCATATATCTATCTACAGCTATCTCTCTCTCTCTCTCTCTCTCCCTCTTTCTCTCTCTCTCTCCCTCTTTCTCTCTCTCTCCTTTTCTATGTACTTTAGATAATGCCACAGATTTAAGGCCTCATGCATACAGCCCTAAAAAATGCAATGCAAAGCATTTTTGGTTTATGGATCTGAACACAGATATATTGTTTATAATGGAGCCATGCACACAGGTGTGTAAACACTGTCTACCTTCAGATCCATAATAAAAAAACAAAACTGAGGACATCTATTTTGCAGGTAAGCATTTAATCATGTTAACACATATAACGGCGTCTACTTGCATTGACGTAAGTGCATAAGGGAAGTCCAAACAGGAAAATTACATTGAAAACATAGTAGGAGGAATGGAACAAAAATGTTACGCATTTAAACTAGGGCTGTGTAAATTAACGATTCATTTCTTGATTAATCGTTAATCTTTTTGATCGATTACATTTTTTTTGATCGCTAATGAAAATACTCACCTCTCCGCCGGCTTCCGGGAGTCCCTGCGGAGATCCGGTGACGTCACGGACATCGACTTAACCGGACTCCTCCCCCTTTCCCCAAGTGGCTCCGAAGGGAAGGGGGGAGGAGTCCGGTGACGTCGATGTCCCCAAGTGGCTCCGTCGGCTAATGAAGGGAAGGGGGGAGGAGTCCGGTGATGTCGATGTCCCCAAGTGGCTCCGTCGGCTAACGAAGGGAAGGGGGAAGGTGTCCGGTGATGTCGATGTCCGTGACGTCACTGGACTCCTTCCCTTCGTTAGCCGACGGAGCCACTTGGGCCGGTGAGTTTGTCCAAGAAACTTTCTGCATGAGCGCCAGCCAAGGCATTGGCCTATACACATACAGCACAGCAATGAAGTAATACAATGAACTAGGATCACACTAATCCAGCACCTTATTATTCTGAGTTGCCCCACTCAAGCGGCGGCCATATTGAGTGGGGCACGTGGGATTAATAACGTGCTGGATTAGTGTGATCCTAGTTCATTTTATTACTTCATTGCTGTGCTGTATGTGTATAAGCCAATGTAGTTGGATCTGTATGTGTGTTATAATTAATCGATTAAAAAATTTCGGTTAATCGAACACGAAAGTTTTAATCAGTAACAGCCCTAATTTAAACACACACAAACACACATATGTTTACCTGTGTAAACACAACCATTTTACTGATCATCACCCAGAATTATTTTGGCCAAAAAACAAACAAACCATGGTAATATGATCAGTAAATTTATTATGGCCGTGTGCATATAGTCTTGAATATATATAGGCTATTCTCCCAGTCTGGGGTAGCCCTAAGGTTCCCTCCCTGGGCGACTGGAAGCAATTGGTTGATCAGGCATTGCCCCTCTATAAACTTACATATGAGCAGCGGGGCAACCCGCTAGGCTTTGCTCGCATTTGGGACCCCTGGCTCTCTTCTCCTAATACAACTGTGGATTTCATTGAAATGCACCTACTGCTTTGTGGTATACTGGAGTTCTTGGTCCTTTCCCACATTCCATAAAGTGTACTGCAGTCAATTGCTACATCTACTAATACATCTGTGATGAACCTATATTCTACCTGTGGATTCTCTCCTCCGCTCTGGAGTCTGTAAGCTTGTACGTTGTATGACAATTGTTCCTGGGTTATGGTGACCCAGTTGTTTTTGTATTGTCTTTTTGTGTTAATTTATATAACATTTGATAACACCAATAAAAAGCATCTTTAAAAAAACATGCTCTATATTCAGATTCATAATACAAAATGGAAAAATCTGTGTCTGAGGACATACATTTTATGTGCATATTCTTGTAAATGGATGTTTGCTGTAATACACACATAAGTGTGTAAATGAAGTTCACAAATGAAATTACTTTCAAAACAGAGCAGGAGGAATGGAATATTACATTCTTTATTTTCACAGGACACAGGTGGACATCCAAAATCAGAGCAAAAATGTTACAACTACAAATTCAAGCCAAGACATAGGGGTCTATTCACAAAGCTGCCGAAGGATCTGGCTGTAGCTTCGGCTGATCCTTCGGCTAGCTTTGGCCCCAGGACCCCTTCGGTTCAGTAGAACCGAAGGGCTGCTGTTCGGGCTATTCACTATAGCTCGCACAGCTACCGAGGTTGGCCGAGCGGCTCAGTCGAGCCGAAGGCATGTGTGAGCCAAAGGTCGAGCCGAAGGCATAGGTGAAAGCT